ATCAAGTGATGCATAGTTTTACCTGACACAACACATTTCAGATTAAACTAAAATTTGGCATGAAAATATTTTATTAATTGCAGAGTAAGTGGAGCTACAGTTATCGTAATCGGGCTATACATGGTAATTTGGGGTAAGAGCAAGGACCAGAAAGTAATTGAACTAACTAAGCAAGATAAGCCAGAGACGAAACCTTCAAGTTCAACCGATGAGGCAAAAGCTAATGGTGTGAATGGCTCAGAGATGACAACTGGACCCAATGCTGTTTAAGGAGAAGGATAATATATATTCTGACTCATCAATCCTCGAATCTTCATCTATATGTATTTGTGGCTACGTACACCCACTAAATGTGGAAGTGGGAATAAGTAGTTAATACTAGCTTTCTAGAACTTTCTACGTACCTCTCAAGACATATATGTCCCCAAGAAAAAAAAAATAAAAAAAAAATTGTGTATCATGTAACTTAATTATCATTGGTTCTATATTTATATATAAATTGTGTGTAATTCTAACTATACTTGGGTCCATATTTAACTGGTAATTGCGTGTTATGTTGGAATTGAGTTTCTAAAGTTGAGTAAGACAAGCACTAAAACATGTTAAATATTCTTAATTCTGATTAGTGCAATAATGACATGATTTTGATCAGTGATAAGAGTTGATGAAGGTCCTACCTAGAAGCATAATAAAACCAAAGTTTTTGCTTTGATTATTTAGATACCATGCATGTCAATTTCAATTCTTTTGCTTTTCCCATTTCCTAAGCTACACGTCTGCAATCACTTCTTTACCCATTTCTTTTGATAATATTGGATTTAATGTTCATTTATTTACTTTTGCCTCTTCATTACATTATAATGAATGTGTGTATTGGTGTATTCAACAAAATAGATTATTCGTCCTAACGACTATTGTTCAGACTCCGCACCTGATGAGTTTGTCAGTTTCAAACGCCCAAAGTACAGGAACTATGTAAAAGTCTAGATTTATACATCACAACGCACTCTTTCGTTTGCAATGAACTACTCTTTCTTTTTTTTATACACCGCGCGCTCTATAAAAAACTTTTTGTTTCATCCCACAAGTCAAGAAAAATTATGCGATATAATAATTGCATATCCAAATGAACCTCATACTTAACAGTTACCAAAAACACTTTCGCATATTTTGTAATAGCAAATTCAAATCCGACGCATAATTTATGATATGCGAAAGAATTCTGCATATACAAATTGATCGTTACATATTTTATGATATGCGAAAGAATTCTGCATATACAATGTCGTATAATTTACGACTATGTGTAATATGTTCGTATATTCAAATCGAAAGCCGCATAATTTTGAACCATCCACCATTTTTTCGCAGATCTATATCATGAACCGCATATCCACTGAAAATGTTTCGCATAATTTATACACCACTTTGATTATATGATTTTTCACGTAAAAAAGCATAGACAAATGATATAATCTATTCATTAGTTGAGTTGATGTACATCTACCACCATTATTAATACTCATTAATTGTAATCTTTTTTTTTTGGTACAAATTAATTAATTGTAATCTTTAAATGATATATTTGTAATTAACCTTTCACTTCTCAAAACCAAAAACGTTAGGAAGAAAAAAACTCTAGGCACGTTTGCGAAAGAAAATGGATAGTATTTCACGCAATAAGAAGATCGCGATACGCTGTTGTGGAGTGGAGTGGACCGAGAGTGAGGAAGATGTTTGCTACAGAGTATTTGTGATGTCGTCAGAAGGCAGACATACACCGAGGCTCTATGTTCAATCCCTTGTAGCCAGAAATTGCACGTTCACTTGACCGAACACTGAGTTATGCATTCAAGAACGAGTATTCTATTGTCCAAGTCCGAGGAAAGATTCAATGGCTCAGAAATTATTTCGATGAATGTTCAAGTTTTTTTATGACTCCAGGCATCTGAGTGCATGGTGATGTTGGCTTTATTAGTGTCGACTACATGTATTGGTTGTATACTTGTATGTGGTCGAGGAGGTAAATTGATTTATTTTAGTTTGTTCATGCATTTTTGCGACGCGGTCATAATCTAAAAAAAATCAAATTTAATACAAATGGACCGGCGCTCAGGTATTTTTCCGTTTAGATGGATTTCCTTAGTATCATGAGAGTTACAAGATTTTTATCGAGCACAAAGCAGCGGATCTATAGGAGGGCGGGTCTGGTTCTTCAATGGATGACCGAATTTGGGGAGAAGACATAGACGATGGTGGAACCGACGATGACGGTGATGATCAGATCCATCTGCCACCACCATGGGTGGAAGTCATCAACCTTGACCTTGAGAATCCATCGAAAAAAATTAGAAAACCACATGTAATCATTTTACGTTGTTTGACTTATTTTGTTGGACTTTGTCGGACTGCAACAATAATAATTTATTTTTTTTACCTGTCAAGTATGTGTTTCATCGTGATTCATGTGTTAAAATAATATTTTATGTTAGAATATCACTTGTGAGTTGTCTCACATCATTTATACATAGAAAATAGGCTCACCTTATAAGTCTAATGGGCTACTCCTCCTTCCACCAATTGGTTTTGGAATGGAACCCAATTTGAGTTTCATCTAGACTTTCCCTGTTGGTGCGCTTCACGTGCGTGAGACCGCACTCGTTTTCCCCTCGTTTCTTACCATTTTACATGGATAATGAACCATTAATGTCCGACAACATAGATTTCCGGCAAAATTAGTGACAATGTTCAAAGAAAAATTGTTTAATCGAAAGGAATGTCACAAAACTACGAAACAATTGCAATAAATTGCATAGTGTTCGCATAACGTAATAAAAAATAAAATTAAACGATATCACAAAACTGCAAGCAGGTTCGAGTCATAATGAAATGAGAAAAAAAAAATCAATATGAATAAACGATATATTGTAATCGCATATCCAGGTCAATCACATAATTTACGATATGTCAAAAAGTTTCACGTATTTAGTTATCGCATATCCAAATCGAACGTTATATATTTTAAGATTATGCAACATATTTTCGCATAGTTTATGACTCGCATATTAAAATCTATGATGCCAGATAATTAACAATTATGTCTATTTTTTTATATTCATTAATCGCATATCCAGCAAACACTTCCACATCCAAGAAACTCCAGCTTTCTTTCTAATATCCATAAGCCTTCGCCTAAAAAAATATTTGCCTTTAAACTCAAAATTAGTATATCTGATGTGTCAAATGACACCACTAGAGCCAGAACAAATTCTGGATCAACCCTTCTTGGAATTACGCAGATGACTAAGAAGGTACAAGCACATGCAAATAAAAAAATAAAAAACTCTAAAGGAGACAAAATAACTCGATATATGAGACTAAAAGACGCAGTTGAACTGAAAATAAAAAATTAAAAGAAAAACAAAAGATAAAACTATACACACCTATACAATACACTAAAGTCCTAACTGTCATCAAACAACTCACAACCTTCTCAAGAGAACAACACTTGTAGACAATCCCAAAAAAGATATGAACAAAATAGGAAAGATAGAAAGGCCCATTTTTGGTAAAAAAAAACTGGTTTTTTTTAGTAAAAACGGATCTAAATTAATGATGCTCTCAACCACATGTTGATTTAAACTTGTAAGGAGAGAAAAATCGTTGACTTGTTGGCCTAAAGCATTAAGGTGAAACAGTATAACTATGGAGTATAACAAGAGCACTGGTGCCTGATCTTTACCATTACCAATTTACCATTATTGTGATTTGCATTTGTTAGATTCGGAACTCTTTAGTACTATTTTTTTACTAGCTATGATTTTTTTGTGATTGCAATAATAATAGTCTAGTCATTCTCTATAGGTGTATTTAATTACTTTCAAGAAAATAATGCTGCAGTTATTAAGACCAAACAATGATAAACAAATA